GAAAAGTTGTTTAATTGGCCAAGAAAAACCGCCAAGCTCGTACGAAAACGATCATAACCCGTTATCCAATCCTCTGAAGCTTCGTCTCTCAACATATTAATAACTGAATTGTCATCATTGGTTCCAACTTGCAAGGCACTCAAATGAGAGTGATTCGCACCCTTCCTTTGGTTTTTCTCTTGATGCGGTAAAAAGTGAGCAACTTCAGCTGCCAAGTGCTTGATAGATTCCACGACTTCTAGTGAGGGCAATTTGTCGATCATCTCCAACCAGGTACCACACATAATATATATGGGCGGGCCACAGTTTCTTATAGGTGGGGGCCTCATCCTTTTATTCCTTTTTGACTTGTTCTGTGAAAGATAAACGCACTTGAAAAGCCACTTATCTATATATTCCACGTATATTTTCTGGGCACCAATCCATTTTGTGAAGCTCAGCATTAGAGAGTTCAGTTCGTTTTCGAGATAAATGGTAATCTGTTTACGGGAATCCAACTGTACTGCAATCTTTGTGCTTCGAGGGGCATGAGATACTGATATGATGTGAAATTGAAGCTTGTGGCATTCAAGCATCATGTTCCACATTCTCCTCAGTCTATCATTAGTAAGAAGAGTAAAGCATATGAATCAATAAGCAAAGACTAAAAATTCTCTAAAATTATGGAAAATGTTTCCACGATGGATATTCTGTAACTGCTAATAGAAGTAGTTGTTATGTAATGATGTAAACTAAATTTCTACGACAGTTAGCAGCTAATACGTCCTAGAAGAGTTTTCAGTATTACAAAATTATGAAGTTCTATGACAGTCGTAATGAACATCACGGAAAAGCCATTTTATGATGGTTTTTATGATTATTATAGTAAACCTTTTATGACGCCTCCTGTACATTAAAGCTCGTAGCAGATGCTGATCCATGCATTATATATATATGTGGGAAACAAGTGAAATAAGATCATATGCAGACCACCTTTACGTCAATATCAAATCAAATGCAATAGAAAGAAAACCATGGAACGAAAGGCCATTTCTAATTGGATGTTCTTTAATCTTATACATCCTATCTTCCATAAAGAAATGTAAAAATGCAACTCAGGGCATCTCTGAGAATTAAAGGTTAGTTGACTGTATCTTTTATGGACTGAGGGAAAGGTGGAAATAAGCAGAATTAGACCGTATCCCAGAACTCCAATCATCAGTTTTCCATGACAACATTATATTCGACTACTGTACTTGCCAACTAAATGTTCTTGTCTCTATCAAATCATTTCTACTTCATTGAAGCCTAACAAGTATACTCATTAAAGAACACCATAAGAAACAAGGTTAATCATAAATTCGCATTGGGATCAAGAAAGACAAAATTCAATTGCACGATCACAATTTCATATATTAGCGTCATCAAATTTTACTATATATACATGAAATTAAAAAGACCAACCGGATTGTAGTTTTCTTATCAAATTTCAACACTTCAAAAAGAAATAGAAATGATCACATATGCAAAATGCTAAGATAAGGCAGTCTGGGCTACGGGTTGATTGTGGGTGGCACTGTGGCAGAGCAACTCGTGTACGGAGACATGTCCAGAGTTAGTGCACATTTGGCTTAGGTTAAAAAGTTCACTTATAAGTTTACGTACAAGTAAGTAAGTAAGTAAGTTTCGAAAAAATATTTATTTTATCGGTCAAAGTTAGGCAAGTCAATTATTTTGGAAGTACCTTTTATCCTGCTGTCAAAATAAACAACTTTTGTTAAGAAAAAAACAACTTATCCCGAATGTTTGGAAACAAAAAGCTACTTCAAAGTGAGTTTTAAGTAACTTTTAAGCTCAGCCAAACATGTTAGATTATCCTAGAAACAATTAATTGCATGTGATAACAAGTCCAAATTGAGCCTCTAGATGGGGTGGATTCGTAAATAGTGCTACTTTATGTTTAAGGACATATCCTGCTTCTAAAGTTCTATAAATGAATGATACCATATTTATAAAGTTCAGAATTACTCTTAAATATTCCTAATGAATTTCAGTGACTAATTAATCAAATAAATAGCAAAAAAATTCATACCCATCAATTAACTCTTCAAGTTGTGGCTGAAGCTCCGTATCTCTAATTTCTTCTATTTTCTTTGATATTGAGTCAATTCTATGAATTGCAACTCTAATTCTCGAGTGTAGATCCTTGACTACAGCACGTGTTTTGTCAGTTTTCATTTCTTGTGATTCTTGCTGTCTAAGCACTTTACACTTCTGATCAAAATTACTTCTAAGCACCTGAGCAGCCTGAAAAAGGAGTACGAGGATCAGGTATCAGTTGATTTCCTCTACTCATTTAAAGATAAAATTGAAGCAAAGAAATTATCAAACTTCTGAAACATATGGTTTTACCTGTCCGAAACATGAAAATTCAACCGTAAAAGTATATCATAATATCAAGCTAAAATCAACTATCATAATCACCAGTTAATCATACATTAGGAAAACCATCAGTTTGTGTCCATACATTGATGTAGCAAATAAAGAGTTAACAGTTGAGTAGTCTCTTTCATGGAAACAGTTGACCAAAAAAAATGCTATCCAAGTGTGCGTAAACTAGAATGAATGTAAAGAAAAAAAATATTGAAATATTATCATTCACGCAAAATGAGAAATCATTGGCATCTTGAAATATGAGTTTCATACTTTTTTCCTATTAATTGCCAGTTTCATTTGAGAAACCTGTGGTTAAGTTACACTATATCCAGAACCGCATGACAACTATGTACAGCGAAAAGATCTAAGATTGTCAAGTACAAGTGTAAAACTCAAACCACCAGAAAGTAAATCCCACCACCCTTTTAAAAAATAATTTTAATAATTTTAATGATTATTAATGTACTATGTGCACATTCAAACTCCGAACATACCTTAACTTCATCATAAAGCTTCTTCTCCCACACATACAGCCTATCCAAGGTTGAGGCATGACTTCCAGAGACCATACAGAAGTTGTCAAAGAGATTATTAGTAACATTGTCACCATCATCTACAGAGCTCACGCCTAGAAGACTCCTAGACGAAGCCGAACGAGATGACACGGTCCGGTGCCAAGTTAAATACTTAACAGAAGTTTGAGGAGGCTCTAGACAAAGCAATTAAACCATATGAGTAATCACATAAATGAATGGAAAATATAAATAATCATCCATATTGTGAACAAAGATTCAATAAGATTCCACGACCATATCAATCAACTCCGAAATAATAGTTAATAACTGAAAAGCAGTGACAAATGCCTTCTGCATTATAGAACTCCTTTCTGATTATAAAAACAGTAAAGAATTAAATGTAAAAGTGATACGAGGCATGAAATTCAGCAAAAGTAGAATTTTTGGCAGAAAATAAAGAAGCAGCATCATGAGTTCATTCATTTTCTCATATGGTAACTCTCCTTTCAGCCAGCTTGAAA